CGGACTTGATGCCGGGCCAGACGACACGTTGCGTGAGGAGGCGCTGGGAGGCCCGCACACCCGGGTGGCTGAGACCATGGATGCGGTCGAACACAGTGCGGCGGTGGACATGAGGCACGAACGGTCTAGGATGCCCACAGGATATGTCGCACCACAATTTTGTCTTTGTGCCAGGAACAGGGAGTTCTTGGAGTGTGAGGCTTGAGGGGGATGTCTTGTATTTTGCCAGGTCTTCGTCCTTCTCTTGAGCCGCGGCTAGCTGCCCATAGTCAATGGGTGGAGATGAGGGAAGAATGTTGGATACACAACGAGAGAGGGCGTCGGCGATCTCGTTGTGGCTGCCTTTAATGTGTTGGACGTCGCTGGAGAACTCTGAGATGTAAGCCAAGTGGCGCAGGACACGAGGTGTATGTGACTGGGAAGCTGAAGCGAAGGCGTGGACGAGGGGCTTGTGATCAGTGAAGATGGTGAACTGACGGGCCTCGAGGAAGTGCTGGAAATGTTTGACAGCCAGGTATATGGCCAGGAGTTCTCGATCAAAGGCGCTGTACTTGAGGTGTGGTGGTTGAAGCCGTTGTGAGAAGAAAGCAACGGGCATGAGAATTCCGTTGATCTCCTGCTGTAAGACGGCGCCCACTGCAGTAGAAGAAGCGTCTGTTGTGAGAGTGGTCCGGGCGTTAGGTGCAGGGTGGGCCAGGAGGGTGAGGCGTGTAATGTGCTGTTTGACAGTTGTGAACGCCGTGGCAGCCTCTTGAGTCCACACGAGAGGCTTGTGAGACTTCTTTGGGCGTCCCTTGAGAAGGTCGTGTAGGGGGGCTAGGACGGTGGCAGCTTTGTCAATGAAGCGGTGGTAGTAGTTGACTAAACCCAGGAATTCTCGGAGTTTCTTCACAGTTTCAGGTTTGGGAAACTCCCTAATCGCGGTTATCTTCTGTGGTAGGGGTTGTATGCCACTGGGCGAGACTCTGTGACCGAGGAAATCGATGGCCGAGGTTCCAAAGACGCACTTAGCAGGATGAACTTTCATGTTGTTGTTCTGCAGGCGTTGGAGAAGGAGTTGTAGGTGGTGGCGGTGCTCGGCAGGCGTCGAAGATGCGACGAGGATGTCGTCAATGTAGACAGTGACAAAGTCGAGGTCGCGAAGCATATGGTCCATGTACCTCTGGAAAGTCTGTGCTGCATTGCGTAAGCCAAAACTCATGAAAGTGTACTCAAAGAGTCCAAACGGAGTGGTGATGGCTGTCTTCTGGGTATCTGCCGGTGCTACTGGGATCTGGTGGAAGGCACGCTCCAAGTCGATCTTCGAGAAGATAGTCTTGCCATGAAGTTTGTGGTGAAAGTCCTGGACATGCGGAATAGGGTACCTGTCAGGTTTGGTGACGAAATTCAGGGCTCTGTAGTCGCCACACACCCTCCACTCGCCGGGCGTTTGCTTAGGAACCATGTGAAGAGGCGATGCCCAGGGACTCCTTGAAGGGCGAATGATGCCATCTTGCAGTAGTTTGTTGAATTCTACTTTGGCTGTGTACAGGAGCTCAGGGCGCAGGCGGCGAGGGCGTGAAAAGACTGGTGGTCCTTTGGTTTCGATGTGGTGGAAAATTCCCGACGTAGGTGGTGGGGGTAGGGAGACTCGGGGTGAGAAAAGCTCCTTGAATTCGTTGAGTAGGGAGGAGAACTCGTTGGAAGGCGCAAGACAGGTGATAGTGTCGGTGTGTCTGGCACGAGAACCCTGGATCTTGCGTGCTGTAGGCTCATGGATGAGGCATAGATGACTTGGTTTGACGCCGAGCTTGTGGAAGGTGAGGAAGTCGAAACCAAGGATGGGTTGAGACACGTCTGCTATCACGAATAACCAACGCAGAGTCTTGGGCAGACCGAGGTCTAAGGCGAGGGTGCGTACGCCGTAGGAGGCGATGGAGGTACCGTTGGCAGCGAACAGGTCATAAGAGGGTTGCTTTGACTTGTCTTGTAGTGAGGGAGGGATGAGGCTGACCGATGAACCTGTGTCGATGAGGAACTTCTTGCCGGAGGTGCGGTCGGTGACGTGCAGTAATGAGACGCCTGAAGGGACGGAGGCTGAGGCGTCTACCAGCCTCCGGTGTTGCCGTTTCCCGAATAGGTGCAATAGGGCTCACAGTTTCGAGCATTGCGGCCGAAAGTCTGGTGATACCAGCAGAGGGTATAGTTGTTGTGCTGGGGGCTGGCTGCTGTGTGTCGGAAGTTGTAGGGTGTGATGCGTGAGTCAGGAACTGGCACAGCAGCGGGTAAGGAGGAGCAGAACTGCTCAATGGTGTCCATCCTGCGGTTCAAGGTTTGTAACAGGTCCTTGATATCTTGTGAGGTATTGCTCGGCTGAGGTGTGTTGACCCGGCTTGCAAGTTCGGTGGGAGGTACTGGTGTGACCGTGGCAGCAAGGGGTGCAGAAGTGCACTGGTTGAAAATTCTGTCTGCCGCGGTTGCATATAGCTCTGGTGTCGTAGAGTAATCTACTGCGGACAGGATGTTGCTTACTTCTGTGGGTAGCTTTTGTGCGTGAAGCTGGCGCAGGATAGAGTCAGGAAGTCTGTCTGTGTACCGGGAGTTCACCCTGCACATCTCTTCCCAGAGATGTCCCGGAGTTGAGTTTCCCAGGGAGATGGAAGATAGGTTCTGCAGGATATTGGAGCGGGTCCGTTGGTAATGCGTTCTTAAGGCATCCCGCAGAGTGGCGAATTTGTTGTTCTCTGGAGGGTTGGAGATGATCTGTGAGACTTGTGTGGCGACTTCAGTGGGCAAGGAGCAGAGCAGGGCGCCGTACTTCTGCTCGTCTGTAGCTGTAGAGCCGATGAGAGCTGCTTCGACATGAACTAACCAGTCCTCTACGTTGTGGTTGAAGGTTGGTAGAGAGATCCGTCCGTCCATTCTTGCGGGAGTATATCGCACCTGTTAGGGAAGGATGAGGGATGGGTGCTTGTTCCGACCCCCTTCCGTCTTCACAATCTCCTGGGAGGGAGGTGAACACTTGCGGGGGGGACTTCGGGACGAATACACTTTTTTAGGGTGCAGGTCCTTCGGCCAGAACTAAAAAAACAAAAGAAAAATAGGAGAATAGGCAAAAGAGCTCAAACCACGTTTGGAATATCGCACAATAGTTGCTCTCCAGCTGTGATGTGGGTCACTCACAACGCCAGTGGGGGAGAACAGACTAATGCGTTATAAACCTTACGATCGTGAGATGGTGTCGTTGTGGAGTAGTGGGTGGTGCAGGGAGGCGGTTGGCCTAGGCTGGCAGCAGGCAGGACGATCTTCTCAGCTCAAGTAGTAAGGCAGCAGAAAGGAGTGTGGTATTCACGGCTCCGGGGGTCACCAATGTAGTGTACTGTATGTGGCCAGTTGTCAATTCTCTTTAGTTGTCTATTATCTCTTTGTATGGGCACACAAACGTACGTACATGTAGATACCTTCACTCAGGAATGAGGTTGGATAGAAACTCACGATGCGCTTCCTGTATATATATTGTTGTACAGCGCAGTGCTTAGGAGTGACTAGGTGAGGAGCTGAGAGAGATGTTGCTGGTCCAGTAGTTGAGTGTAGGATGTCCTCCCTGGGCAGGCGTGGCCGTATTTATACAATTTACCAGGATCAGGATCTGGGGTGCGCGTAGCGAGGTGACCAATCACAGCGGCTCCAGCGTAAGGTGTGAAACGCTCTGATCCTGAACTGGAGGTTGATGGTCGAGACTAGGTCGGCGATCGTACCCCTACGTCCTCTGCATAGACCTAGTCTCTCGGCGTAGCTGGCTGTACGCTGATTGGCTGGTCGGAGTGCGGCCGGAGCTCAGTTGGAAGTTGTAGGGGAGAGTAGCCACTACAGTGCTCTCTACATACATGTTGTATTGGATGTACAATGCAGCTTGGTACTGGGAAGGCAGCATGGTTACAAGCGTGATGTAGAGAGAGCTGGTTGGTGAGGACGCTCAGAGAAGGACCAGCTTGTGGGTCGCCATGCTCGCCGGCGGGAGTGAGGACCACCAGGCAGGAGGAGGAGGAGCGAGGACCGCCAGGCAGCGGCGGAGGAGGAGGTGTTGCTGGCTGGTTGGTGGAGGTAGAAGAGACAGGTCACCAGGAGGTCAGGTCTTAAATAGCGGGGGCTAGGCGTGGCTTAGTAGTTGACCCCGCTCCGTGATGTATGGCGGCGCTGGTTGACCCAGACCACGAGGCACACACTGGGGAATTGGTGGGGTCGGCTTGGGAACTTCGTGTTTTCTTCTTTCCTTGTGGTTATCAGCATATACCTAGATCACGCGCACCTACAGTGATTTACTTAAGAGAGAGGCCCAGCAAGGTACAGATACATTCTGGAACCATAACTTGCCAACAGTGTGTAACAGACATGACCGACTGCCCAAACAGCTAACAAGCCGATCAGTGGCGAAGAGGATGAAGTAAAGTAAATTCAGAAGCGTGGATAGAGGTGATTGTTGTGTCGACATTTTCAAACCCAAGGACGTTCTTTGGTTCTTTCTTGCCATTTCCATTAGCAGCCACACCTGAACAAAGAGGGAGATGTACGATCGTTTTTTACCGGGAAATTTTTTTTAGTTACCTACAGCCTAGATTCTTACTTGATAGAAGACTGTATAGACAGAGAGGCTGCCTAACTTACAGTTTATTATGACATTCAAATTTTAGACTGAAGAAATAATTGAAAATTTCGTATCATTTATTAGTTAATATAATAAATCTATTAAATTATGGAATTTGATATTTTAGGTGAATATAAAATTAAAAATTTTTTCTTTATCAGTCATATGAAAATTTTAAAAGATATATTTTGAATGGTCTCTTGTTCGAGTCCCTCTCATGCATGTTGATACATTTGGAGGAAAGATTTCAGAAATAAGAAAAATAATAATAGATTATCATTTAAAAATATTTTAAAATTGATTAATATAATGTTTTTTAATTTAATACACTCACCCAAAACGTTTCCACTGTATGTGACTTATGTGCAAGGTTCGAGACAAACATTGTGTGTAAACAATATCTCCTTCATGGTGTGTGAGTTGGAGTTGTGTGGGATAGTGTTCACACATCTGCCCCTCTATCTTATGAACGACTCGACCCAAGAATAGAGTAGTGGTCAGTAGCGAAATATTAGGTCCTGAAATCATGATTCACTGTGGTGGAGTAGCCTCTTTAATATTTTTCCACAACTTAACTATGGCAACAAATTATCCCTTCTGCTGTGGCTTTTATTAAATTTGTTGGGTATTAATTTACAACAGTGTTATTATGGGGGCTGTATGTTTGGTTGGTTCACTTGTCCGATTATCAATAAATCATTGGTAGGTTAATTATTGATGACTGACCCACGGCCAATTTTTAATAGAAAACGATTATGAAAACGCCGCAATTTCACTTGTTTTATAGTGGACACTGTTGTAGTTTGTGCAAATGTGTTAAGAGGTGGTTATTTCTAAATTAAACCGAACCTAACCTTACTTGAAATTAAAAACACGCAGCAGAAGCATCGTTAAAAGACCTCGCCAACCTAACCAAACAAACCTACCTAATCTTACCTAACTTCTTAGCCGGGGGACTCCACCCCTCAGGTATATTAAACAGAAAGAATTTACTATGATATGGTGTAATTTTATGTGTATTTGTGGGCATGAGAGCAGCCGTCTGTACCGAACAGTTCTTAAGCATACACTGAGCATCACCGTTGATCAAGCCCGGGCGGTGCAGTGTTTTGAAATATGTCAAAATGATTGGCTGTTTACATCCTGGAATGAGACGTCACTGCCGCATTACTGCCGAAAAGACAAAGTATTGTGTGCCTAGGCGCCTTATTATTTGCCAAACAAAGCATTTGCATCAGAACTCACTGATGAAAATAAAGTAAGAAAGTAAACAGTAAAACAAATAACTTGTCTGTGGGTCAGTCATCAATATTAACCATTGGTAGTGAGCATTCACTGCTGTGAGGAAGGGTAAAATTATCATTTAGGTCATGCATCTATTTTTCGAAGGTCAGAATCATTCAAAACACATCCAAAACTATCAGAAAAACATAATTTTAACCTAACTTAACCTAACCTAAACCTAAATTCGCTGCATGGCCAAACGATAATACCTGAGAAAGGTAGGAAATGCAGTCCTGGACATAATTGCCACTCTAGCACACAAAAATTACCATAAAACTTAAAGGTAGAGGTGGAGACAATTAGCACCTGAAGGATGTATGGAATTACACCAAATTTTCAGATGTTATTTAGATGATACTAAGTAATAAAACAAATTGAGTGTAATTATTGATGAGATACCCGGTGCCAATTGGTGATTATTGATGACTTTACTGCCGCTGTATTTTCATAGAAAAAGAAATTAAAAACGCAGCAATTTCACGTGTGATTTATAGTGGAAACTGTCGTAGTTATGGCAAATGTGTTAAAAAGTGGTTATTTCTAAATTAAACCTAACCTAACCATAATTCATAAGAAAACAATTGGTAGAAGCATTGTTATAAGACCTCACCTATCTAACCAAAGAAACCTACCTAACCTAACCTAACCTACCTAACTTTTTAGCCATGAGGCTCCACCCTCACGGCCTGAACAGCTTATAAACATACACCAAGCCGCCTGAGCATAGCTGTAGACATCGATTGGGCCCCGCCTTATTGATTTATCACTGCACAAGATGAAGTAGTGCTGCGAATGAGAACTTAAGAGAGGTGCAGAGTTATAAGAGAAGGTGTGAAATTTGGAAGTGAAACAAAATTTGGAGGTGTGGATTTTACCACTAACACATGAGAGAGCGTGGGTGTAGCTTCATCTGACTGATGGCAGGCTATAAATTAAGACATTTAATTACAGTAATTAATATTTGTTCTGAAGAATACTGTGGACTCTGTTTAATCCTTAGTGGTTATGATACCAACTACAATATGTTTTTTGACTGTTGCATTTTAGGTGCAATGGCAGGGTTTGGCTTAGAAGAAATTGGCATCCCAGGAGGTGTGTATCTTAAGGAGTCACTTACACACTGTACAGATCCTCTAAAGGCTATAGAAGAATTTCAGGTAAATATTATATTTCATAAATTTCATATTACTGTACTTTAGTTGGTCCTATTCTCATAATTTATTAGTTTTGTCTGTTATATTGTGCATTATTATTTTGCATGACAAGAGTAAATTAGTTATAAGACTGCTAAAGCTGCATACAGTATAGAATTTGCTTTGCACCTACTGGTGTTTAGTCTGTAGCAGAGAAGTTTGTCCCTGGGACTCCCAGTCGATATTGTTAGAAATTGTTAACCTGGAATAGACAATTTCAAATATTTTCCAAAAGTATCTTTATTGTTGATGTACTTTAGAAAAGGAAAAAAAAACATAGCTTTCCTTAGATGTAAATCCTAACCAAGATGTGGACTCCAGCTCTGAAGAGGGATGGCTATAGATAGAAATACATAATTAGACAAGCAAATTTTTGAAAGGGTAGAAGTTATGCTGTAGCTTGTTCTGCTAAGAATTTAAAAGTATATTTGAAAGCAATAAAAACTAGTTCTTATTATTTTAGTCTTATGAACAAAGAAAAAACTTGTTTCATTACTGTTGCTCCCAATTCTTATGAGCTACAAAGTGTAAATACCATAGAAAATGCATTGTTAAGAGTGTATCAGTTTACACAAAGAGCCTATTCCCTTCCAGTCACCTTTACCTGAAGACAGTTTGCTTGGTCTTACATACTATATACTGTACTGCACAGTACATGCTTTCTATTTTGTATGTAATTGATTTTTTTGCATTTTTAATATTTAAATATACAGTACATACAGTATACAGTATTCCTGTGAAGTACTGAACTTGTAAATATATTATATTTTTCAGTTAGAGAATGGGATCCTTCTGCCATCACTGAGACCCATGTTACATCTCTTGGATTTGCACGGGGTTAAGCGACTTGACTTTCACAATTCTATCATGGAGGTGAGATGTGGCTTTAGCTTTAATCTTTAGAATTTTGACAAATCATCCAGATTCTTTGTCATGGAAAAGGGGTAAAATTGCAGATTACAGCAACCAAAGAATCTGATAAAAAAAATTCTGATGGTTTTTGATGCGATTGGTTCAAATCTGACATTCATTTTTATCAGAAATAACTAGTTTTAGATTTAACCCTCCCCCTCCCCAACAATAATGGGGGGAAGCGTGGGAATTCAGGGTTCAGGGTTGGGGAGAGCCAAAACGAGTGATTTGTGGTAAAAGCAAATTCCAAAATTGTCCGAATCGCAAAAAGAAAACATTAGAAGAACACATTACGCAACAGGAATTCTGTTATTTACAAAAAAATAGTAGAAATAATAGTTCTAACGATCGCATGTTCTGAATTCCCGGTACTCTGTGCTTGCTAACTTATGCAATATAGCCCCTTACCCCTGGTTGCCCTAGCCGGGGGCTTTACTCCCAGGCCCCCAGACACTATGTAATAACCCAGAGTCGCGTGGTCAGCCTCCACGAGAATATAAATAGCCATTACAATATTTGGTAAAATTGCAGATAGGTAAGCGAACATACGAACATGAACAATTTGAGCAACAGCGTAGGGGCAACAGGTGCTCTGATTTTAATCTTTTTAAAATTCAATAATTTCCTTTTTATCAATTTGTGACGGAATTGTAATATAAGAAAATGATCATAGAAAAAATAGTTCTATCGATTGAAAGAAGTGAATTTCCGGAATTTTGTGGTTGTTGTTTACTGCAGTATTACCGGAAGAAGATAATGAACTGGTGATGAAGCTATTGATGATTGTGTTTGATACCTATCACTTTCCTGTGTATGGTAGATTTCAGATCAATTTGCATGGGTCAAAGAATAAACATTTACCATACAGCCACCCACTAGAGGTGGTCATGATGAGGGAAGGTGGCCACTGGCCTGTGTAGGATCCCTCCATTGATCTTGATAATTTTGTTGTTTTTGTGCATTGTACAGTTGAAAATATTGATAACAATAAATATGTAATGAATACAGTAATTCAAAATTAGTATGAAATAAGTGGAAGTACAGTATGCTGAACCCTCACTGCTTGTAATTTGATATTGTTGGGCACTGGGTCCATCAAATTGGCCCAAAATATAAATGGAGTGAATATCCTGGTTAGTAAGCCCACTACAAGATGCCATGATGAAACAAACACTGAGGGTAGAGGCAGGAAGTAGCCTCAGGCCATCATCCAAGAGGTGCCAATTATCACTTTATGTCCTTTCTAATATTTCTTGATGGTTCTCTTTTGAATTTGACCAGGTGCAAAATTTGAATTCCAAAGGGTATAAATGTGTACAAAACCATTGTTGACATGATTTGATAGAACTTTTATATATATATATATATATATATATATATATATATATATATATATATATATATATATATATATATATATATATATATATATATATATATATATATATATATATATATATATATATATATATATATATATATATATATATATATATATACATATATATATACATATATACATATATATATATATATATATACAGTATTACCCGCTTAACGCGGTTTCCCTTAGCGCGTTTTACCGTATACATGGTGCCTCGCCAGAGCGAACTTTCACTTAACAGGGTTTTTTCCACGTATATGCGGTGAGTGTCCGGCTCAGCTATTTTTAGATTCTATTTTTAGATTCGCCCCACCTGCCACCCTGCCTGACTGCCTGTT